TCTCCTGATGTTCTGTGGGTTACTTAAGCAAATTTTTAGAATTTTGATATATCTAGTATTTTTTAATATATTTCATCATATAGTTTTTAAGTGGTTACTTTATATATTATATTATATGTACATAATTTATCACAATCTACTGGTATCTTCATTTTTTTTTTCTTTTCTTTTTCTTTCTTTCTTTCTTTCTTTTTTTTTTTTTTTTTTTGAGACAGAGTCTTACTTTGTCATCCTCGGTAGAGTGCCGTAGCATCATACCTCACATCAACTTCAAACTCTTGGGCTTGAGCCATCCTCTTGCATCAGCCTCCCAAGTAGCTGGGACTACAGGTGCCCACCACTCACCCAGATATTTTTGGAGATGGGGGTCTCACTTTTGCTTAGGCTGGTCTGGAACCTGTGAGCTCAAGCAATCCACCCACCTCAGCCTCCCAAAATGCTAGGATTACAGTCAAGACTGTAAGGTGACCAGATTTTAACATTGGTAAAGTGGGACACCATTGACGGGGGGGTGGGGGGGTAGGAGGGTGGGGGGGGCCTGACAACAATGCAAACTTTGATAAGCAGTTCTCGATAATCAGTTCTCAACAACTATTTGTTATTATTAAAGTTTAACATTATAAATTAACAAAAATAATATAAAACTCATATCCTGGCAAAATATGCACATGGCAGCTAAAATCCTTATATTCCTGTTCTCCTGCTGTTCCCTAGCTTCTCATGCATTCTTTCCAAAAATTGGAACTTTTTAAAAATGCTGTAGGTTGCGGGACAAATCATTAAAAATTGGGACCGTTCTGCCAAAAGCAGGACATCTGGTCACCTTAGTCAAGAGCCACTGCGCCTGGCCTCATTGTGAATTTCTTTGGGCTTATCCTGTTTATGACTTGCTCAGCTTCTTTATATCTTTCACTAAATTTGAGAGTTGTCCACCCAATATTTATTTGAGCACATCTTAAGCCGTGACCTTTCCTCTCTTTCTGGGACACAAATATAGATGTTTTATCTTTTCTTATAGGTTCAAGGTTGCCTAAGTCTCTATTTTCCTTTATTTATTTATTTATTTACTTTTCGTTGTTGTTAAAGTGTATTTTTCTCTCTGTTGTTCAGATTGGGTAATTTCTATTGCTCTATCTTCCAGTTCACTGATTCTTTCCTCTGCCCTCTCTAGTCTGTTGTTTAGTATATATCCAGTGAGTGCTTTTTTTCAATTTCAGTTATTAAATTTTTCAGTTCTGGCATTTCCATCTGGTTAATCCTCGCATTTTCTATGTCTTTGCTAAGACTTTTAATTTCTTTGTTTCAACCGTATTCATAATTGCTCATTGAAGCATTTTCATGATCAGCACTTTAGAATTTTTGTGAGATAATTCTAATATCTCTGTCATTTTGACGTTCACATTCATTAATCATCTTTTTAAAATGCAGTTTGAGATCTTGCTTCTGCTTTGTATGACAAACTATTTTCCACTGAAACGTGGGCATTTTAGGTATTATGTGTGAGAATCGGCTTCTTACTTAAATCTTCTGTTTTGGCTGGCTTTTCCTACCCCACAGCAGGGGAAGCGAGGTGTGCCACCCATTACTGCCAGACATAAGTGGCAGTAACTCCTGCTTCTGTGTCTCAACTAACCCTCCACGGATACCTCCCTGGCTAGGAAGGAAGGAGCGATTTGTCATTTCTTTTGTTGCCTTCACCAGTGCCTTGGAAGTTGAGGGACATCAGAGTAGTTTTACTCTGCTGGACCGTTTCTAATGTCCTGGATCTCCACTGGGTCTCCTCTGATACCACCTCAGCAAGGAGGACGACAAGTGCTTCATCTTTATTGGGTTTGCAGTGGAAGTTCAGGCTCCCTACGTAGTCTCCACTGACGGTCACCACGTGTGGGGTCAGAGAGGAACCTTGTTACCACTCACAGCCTCATCGCTCTTAGCTCCCTCCTCAGACTTGTCTTACATTACTCTGGAAGGTGAAAGGAAAGGGTGTTGGGGCACCTCATTCCAGCCTATCAAGGGGCAGTCGAGGGTCCTCACTCAGTCTTTGCAGGAGCAGGTGGCAATGGTACCACAGTTCTTTAAAATGCTATTGTCCTGGCAGTTCTTTATTTCTAGGCTGCTCCTTCTTCAAAATTTTGGCTACAGAAAACAGGCTTTTCCTGGGACTTTTGTGACTACACCAGTTGGCACTTCTGAGTTGCAGGCTTCTTTAGCCCCAAATTTGAATGTATAAAGTAAAAAGAAAGTCCACGTCAGTCCCTAGCTAGTCTGTCACCTTCTCTCCACCCGTCAGGTCTCCTTACATTTGATTTATATGTAGTGTCCAGGGATTTAAACTGTACCTTATAGGAGAATTAGAAAAAACCTATGTCTACTCCATCTTTCTAGAAACAAATGTTTCCTGCTTCCTTGTTTATTTTTTTAAAATCTTTTTTTTTTTAATTGGGGGTAGGCAGCATACAATTTCACATTAGCCTCTTTAAGGGACTCAAATGTAATTATAAAAAATTAATTACGGAATTTAGTATTTAAAATGAAAAAACTTTAGACAGAGAAAATATCTCCATCTATAATTTACTTTTTAATGTCCATTTCACTTCCATGTTCCATTTCTACCAGTTTTTTTCCTGACAAGTTTATCTCCTGTAGGTCCATAAATATTTCTGTTTAGTAGTGACCTTTTCTCACTTTAAGGTATTTATTGAATGACATGGGAGTCACATCCATTTGGTTCTCTGCAAATCCTGTGCCTATCATAACACCTACCATGTACTAGCACTTAATAAATATCTGCTGAATGGGCTGAATGGAAACTAGAAATTTAAATTTTAATTTCTGTAGGTGGGTTATCTACTCTCTTCTTGCTGTGCTGAAGCGTAGGACAGGTCTGTCCTTAATCCCCCACTAAAAACTCTTTAAGCACTTACTTAAGGTACTGATAGAATTTGTCCAGAATTTTGCAATTGAGGAAAAGCAGTTTTAATTTCAACATATGTAGTTGTTATCTTATGGTTTAGAATTATGTGCATTTTGAATTACAAGTGTGTGTGTGTGAGGGGGGGGGTTGTGTGCATGCTTATGTAGAAATTCCCTCCTCTTGGTCGTAAAGAAAGTAAGTTATCTGAAGGAGATGGCACCAAAATAATCATTGACCATTTTTAGAAGATCTTTCCTAGATATTTGAACCTTTTTTGTTGGGGAGGGGGAATGATTTTCTTTTTATTAGGCAAGTCACACTTTGAATATCTTTTAAAAATCTTTGTATGTATTGTGCAATGTGTGTGTATAGATGAGGGATGGGTCATTTCAATCCATCACTTCATTAATGCACTGAATAGAATTTTAAACATTTTGCAAACATAATGATACTTTAGATAAAGGTGATCCAATTATTGCACCTTTTTTTTTCTAATGGAGTAGAAGGACATGGTTCATTTTAGTACGTTTGATTTCAGTCCTAATCATGCTTGCTTTCCTGTTTGGCTTTCGATTCTGCTTAAGGAAACTGTGAAAGATTTAATTCACTTTACTTTTGTTAGAAAGTATGGAAATGTTTGTACATATATACGTGAGAACTTCTGTTGCCCCTAGGATGGAAATTCACTTGGGAGGGGGAACCCTTTCATTTTTTAACTTAAGAGCTGTTGATAGAGTCCTTGCATCTTTCAAAGGCATTTTTCATGCCGCACAGGCAAATTGTAGCCAGTGAAGGAACAGAAAGGGCACTTTTCACATGTGTCAATCCCAGCAAACTTGCACAACAGCTGTGCTAGGTAGTCAAGGAGATTACACAGGACCCAGGGAAGGGTTCTGTGTGGTGGAAGAGACAACCGGGTTTCTCGGGGGACCACTTTGTTGGAGATTGCAGCAATACCGCAGCCCCACTGTTGCTGGAGGGTATTGTGGCCATGTAGTATGAAATCAGTGCCAGATAAAATCAGAAAGTAATAAAAACCAAGAAGCAAACTCAGTGATTTTTAAATCTTAAAGTGAGAGACTGAAACAAATGTTCTGGGCTTTTCGCACTCACTTGTAAGGAAAAGGAGACACACCAAGGGGTGCCTTTAACTCAGAAAACTTGCCGGGCATTCAATCTTTTCATTTGAGAACCATTTGGGTGTGTTAAGAAATAAAGTTGCAGAGTAGGCATGTTCAGACCTTTATTTGCTACATTTGGTAGGAAAGATTTTTTTTTTTTTTTCCCCTCTTAACTACAAGAAGCCAGAGTTTTCTGTGCAAACGAAACAGGCGTTGCAAGAATCAGATTCACTTTGGACGACTCTTCACATTCCAAGTCATCATTGCGTTAGGCAGCACAATTCCATCTCTGGTTGATGGGCAGAAAAAGTGGGCAGCTTGCCAGGTAGACGTTTCCATGACTCCCAGCCCCCAAAGGTGATGCGTTTTTCAGCTAATTCAATGAAGAGTGGGCTGAACTTTGGGTCTAAACGAGACAATAGCTGCCTTCGCAGTATCAGCAGAATGGTTGATGGGAATGCACTCTACATTTGGCAGAGAATCATGTGACCTTACGACTGAGATTTTGTGATGGTGCCAACGGAGACTTGGAAAGCAGCAACGGTCCTGACTTTTTCTTCTTTTCTAGCATGGCTCAGAAAATGGTGGATCTTAATACTTGACTTTAGCCAGACTCAGCAAGCGACTGAGCTTTGAAGCACAACTTCGCCTTTATTCTGGGTTTTTTGGCAGGCCACCAGGAGGCTGTCCCTTTCACGCCTGATAAATTCTGCTGCTTATCTCTAAATAGAAAAAAAAAAAAAGGAAAATAATAACAGAATATTGAGGCATAACAAGTGAATCCTAAAATTGTATGTGCTTTTTGTTTTTTGCTTTCTCTGACTGCTGATTATTATTTTTTTTTAATGTTAACACCCTTGCTGCTTGCTGAAGAATCCAAGTAGTTGGGTCGGTCTTTTTTTTTTTTTTTTTTTTTTTTTGGTTTATAATGAACAGGCATTTGAACTGGGCAAACAAGGCAACAGCAGCAGTGAGCATGAGATCATTGCATTGCAGCAGTGTAGCAAACTGGCACCCTGCCTTTTCACCCCTCTGGTTCAGGAGACAAACGTGTGCAATCCTCATTTCTAAAGTCAGTACAGCCTGGAAGGATTCCTGGTCGCTCCCACCTTCTACCATTCTGCTGCCAGTGACGGCAAGGATTGGTGCAGCTTCTGCGCAGTGCTTTGTGACTGGAATACCGAGAAGGAAGAAAATGAAGACAAGCACCCTGGTCCTTCTCTGCTAAGAAATAACAGGAGCCCTGAAGAAAAAAATCTGAGTTTGTCCTACTACATGCAAGCGTGCTGAAAAAAAAAAAAAAAATTGAGACGCTCCTGCTCAAAAACAAAAACAAAAACAAACAAACAAAAATCCAAACCAAACAAACCAAAAAAAAGCAAACATTGGCTTGTGTAACTGCAGAGACATCGGGCATTGTAAAGCAGCTTTTTAAGGCAACATAAGCAAATGAGCCTTCTTTATTTTTATTATTTCAAACAATATGGCATAATTAGCAATATATTGCACTTGGTGAAATCGCACCTTTCATATCAGGTATAACTTTTTTTGTTGTTGTTTCTTTAAAGCCTACTGTTATGTAAAAGAGAATCCTTGAACTTTCAGTTTGCTCTGATTTAACTCATAACCCACTCTACTCTTAACTTTTTCCTTTTCCTCTCTTGCTCTAATCCTGATTAGAATAGAAATTTAAGTAAAAACAGAAAATGCTCTGTGAAAAAGACAGTACATGTTTTGATTTTTGTTTCACACAGAAGTTTCGGGAAGACAATAGTATGCTATCTGTTCCTTTTAAATTTATTAATGTTTGCTATCTAAGAAAAGTGTTTATACCTAGTTGTTGAGGAAAGTAAATCTTTCATGTGATTGATAATTTGAAATGTGGAGGAATAAACTAGAAAAGGGTCATATTAGTGTATCTTTAAAACTATGTATAAATAAAATAGTTGGGGGAAGCTATATTTAAATTATGACAAGGATTTCAGGAGAACAGAAATAGGAATGAAAAGATCATGTTCTTAGTTGTTAAGTGAAAAAGAAGCTTGTTCCATAATAATATTCTCTTTTAAAATACGTTGTAAAAGAAGTATTTGTCCTAGAGCTGTTGCAAAGAGCACTGGAAATATCCATTAAGTATTTTAGTGGAAAAAGTACATACAAACTTGTTTTAAGTTCAAAGCAGTGTATTGGCTCAGCAGATAAATGCAATGCATTGTAATTATTTTGTCTGTTTGTAGAAGCAAATTGCTAAGCAATTTAAGCATTTTATAACAAAACCCAGTTTTGCTTCGTTTAATGTGCAAGGATTAGCATAAACATTTCACTTCTTTTCATTATGATAAAAAATGGTTTTAACTAGATGTAAAAATTGTTTAAAAAGAGAACTGCTTTTGCCAAATACGGCATTCATCAGTGACGATTATAATTTACATATTAAGAATTGATGCTATAATATTTTCAATATAAAATAAACTTTAGGTAATCTGTTATACTTTTAAAATCATATTTTATTATATTAAAATGTATAGATTATACAACGAGAAATTTTATAGAACCGATGAATTCTGCCTTCATTTTTTGCCATTCTATGAAGAATTGTGGGAAATTACACAAATCCTATATCCTGATAACATTCACATGAAACATTTTATCAGTTTTTTTAGTTATTGTTCCCTGATTATTTACAAAGTGGCTCCTTTCCTCCATGCTGCCTCCGCTAATGGAGCGCCCACTTTCACAGGCTTAATTAATATTGATAAACCTGTTTCCAGGTTTCAAGATCCTTTAGTCAAAAAACATTATTTTAAATGTTATTTTTAGATGCCATTAATCTCCACACTCTTAATTATCTTATTAAGCTCCATGCCAAATCCAAATCTCTTTTCAGCTTTCACCACTTCATTGTGTAAAACCTGGTCGCTTCTTGAACAGCTATCGTTCTTTCACTTTCAAAACTGTGCCTGGGAAAACAACCCTGACCAAAATGAACTCAGAAATGCAAACTATGAAACCACTTTCTATGTCATATGAGTAGCCTTGGGTGGGGCCCTATGCGTCTCCCAAGTCTTTTTTAAAAAGTACTTTGAAAGGTTTTGCTCGTTCTGATACTGTGTTTTCTTCTCGATCATCCACTCTCATTCCCACCATCCACTCAGACGCTCCTCCTGGGCAGCAGTGGTCTGATATTTCTCCTTTTGTGGTTATTTTAGGGAAAAACTTAAAAGGATATGAGAAGTGAAGAAAGTGATCATAGCAGAAAATCATCTCAGGTAAAAATTTACAAGAACACTTACTATTGAATATGTTAAACCAAAATTCTTTTGTGTTTAGCTGTAATCCATTTCATATGTATGAATCTAGCTGTTGGAATTTTCACTGGTGGTGTTCATTTGAGAATTTACAATAGTAACCTGTTTCTGTGAACAATTTTGCCCACGTTTGTGCTCAATGTACAGTTTGTGTCCCTCTCAGTATATACCTGTGTATCCATATGCCTTAGGTGCAAGACAGTAGAAATAGAAAGCTATTGAGGAAAAAGTGGAACTATTTTTTTCATTTGTTGTGCCATGTAAAAGGAAGTAAAATCTGGGGGAAGGAAATAAAGTTATGCTTTTTTATCTTTTTTGCATGACTGAATAAGACAATGAAACTAAAACATACATTGTTACAGTGCTGATAAAGCCTTAAACAAACCGGGCATTTTATTTCACATTTAAATTTATAAATATACCTTCGAACATTTTACTAAAATTGAATGCATCATTGTTCATTATTTGCGATTTTTTTTAGCAAGTATTGAGGCAATTTCAAAATAAATCATGGTGAAAAAATTATGTACCACAAATTATCTGTATAAAGCCTATAAAAGACATTTTACTGATTTCAAAACATGCAAAATACTAAGTAATTAGTATGTAGTATTATTTTCCACAGGGAAGATATAATTAAGAAATGCTAAATGATTATAGATATGCGTGAAATAATTAATGATTGTGCAACTTATAATTTTGTTGAGTTTAAAATCTTTTTAAAAAGGGGCATGTGGCTGGCTTTCTGTTCACTCATTTGTGTGTTTGCTTGTTGTCTGATGGTTTAAAATTTTTTTTAGAAACAATTTATTTTTTTCCAACCTGTTGACTGGATGATGAGAGTTGTATGTAGGCATGTATTTTAAGTATATCTATTATGAATAACACATTTATTTGATTTAAGGTAAATGATACCCTCTTTCATATAATACATCTGGAGTATAAATTTTAGTGAAGAATACTGGTAATGATGCCATCACTATTATGTCATTGATTTTAGTTTTCTGATATTAATTCATCTATATATTGTAAACTTTGGTATCATTATAATTACAGACAAATATGTATGTATGTAAGGCTCATAATGACTTCTTGTGTTTTCTACTTACTGAGCAAGATGTCTTTTCTTATGAGAAAATTATAATGTTACCAGTTCCTTGAAACCACTAGGTTTTATAAAAATTAAAATAAGCACAGATTAACTCATACACAATTAACTGAATAGTTAATTTGGTTTTAATTACAGGCTTGTAATACTACATTCATGCCTCACAATTGCATAATTCATAATGCATGTATGGATTCTTTTGTTTTTTTTTTAAATTCATCATTAATTAAAATAGTTTAATTCCAAAATAGTCACTATTATGACAAAAGCAATCTGTGAAAAACATTCCATAAAATACTTTTTAAATTCGCATGCATATAAATTTGTAATTCATTTAGAATATATACAAAGCCCTTTAATGGGGGAAATATACCTCCTTAGAGTTCAGGATTTAAAACACTTATATTGCAGAATCAAAATGATCATTTTTGCCTCCTAACTGCATCAGATATTTACAACCGATTCTACATCAGTAGGGAGCCCAGGCGAGATGTTGCCCATTGGCATAAACCCGTAGATCCGATCTTGTGGTGAAGTGGACCGCACAAGCTCGCTTCTATGGGTCTGTGTCAGTGTGGTAATCTGACAAAAGGTTACGCAGATACTGCTCGATAACATTGCATTAAATTCTTGCAGAACTCCAGGGGATTCTATACACTTCCTGAAGTAATTATACTTTCCTTTGTTTTCCATAGTATTTTAATTGTCAGACTTAAATCATTGACCACTTGGAAGCCTTTGTAGCACAGCTATTCAAGTTCGATTCCAAGTGCAGTAAATTGCTTAAGAAAGTTGCATTTATTTTTGTCAGGGTTTGGACCAACATCCGAATCGATTCTTGTGAGAAATTTAAGTGCACTCTGTAGTGCTTAGTCTACCTTATCAACTTCAATAAGAAAATTAAGGGCATTAACTGCATTTACATGTTATTATGGAGCCTATTTCTCCTGAAAAATGAGGCTGAATGCTATTGGCTTTTAATATTATTAATTGCTAGTGAATAACATGGCAGGAGAGATGTCAGAAGACATTTTGTGTGACCCATGCTAGAATCCCAAAAGGTTAGAATAGTTCTATGACACACATTTTAAGTTTCTTGGTAAAATGCTAGACTATTACATGTACATCCTTGCCAAGCCCATAGGTGTATGGCCGCCATATTTGGAAGAGCTGACTGAAGAGATGATAAGGAGTTTGAAGCAACATTGGAAGCTGTGTGCATCCGGGTTGAGGTAGTAGGTTGTATGGTTTAGAGTTACACCCTGGGAGTTAACTGTACAACCTTCTAGCTTTCCTTGGAGCACACTTGAGCCATCGAGGAATTCTTCATCACTTTAATCTGACCGAGCCAGTTCTGTGCAAGAAGGTAATGTGTCATGAGTATTTTGGATCACAGATTTGAGCCTTTATTCCATTTAAGTCCTAACTATAAGATTATTCCATTTGCATCTACTTATGAACAGTGACAAAATGGTGTTTCTAATGAGTTGTTACTCTGTTCAAGCATTTTTAAAGAACTAGTGGATAGTGACAAAGTGCAGTAATATTAAAGCTTGTTTCATCTCTGTAGTCACAAAACTTTGCACTTGATTTTCAGTGTAATTGTTTGTTTCCCTATTTATATTGGCTACTTAGATTCTATAATAAAATTCTGCTAGTCTTAAGAACTCCCACAGCATGTTATCTGAATTTTTCTTATGACACATCACTTTCTACCTTATGTTATGGCTGTTTATGTGCTTGTTTATTTTTTCCATACTAGACTGTAAGCCCCTTGAGGGCAAAGTCCATGTTTTATTTTTCATTGTATCCCCTGCAATGCCTTATACATAATAGGCACCAAGTATTTATTGGATGAATGTGTGGAGAATAAGATTCCACTCTGTGACAAATTTCTATTGAATATTTGAATGAATTACAACAATGGTCAAATACCTGAGCTTTGTTTATGCGTCCTAAAGTTGCTTAAATTTCATTCCCAGAGAACTCTTCATCAGTAAAATATGTGTCAAACAACTTAGATACACAGTTTAAAGTTTGGAATTACTTTTCTCTGGAATAAAAAGAATAGAGAACATACAGCTTTACTTAGCTCACTACAGTATATAATCCTAAACCTAGATAATGTATATTTCTGGTCAATTTTAAATACCTTCATTTGCAAATGAATTGGGGTCCTTTTAGCATAAATTTCAACTGAAGATTATATTTTAAGCCTCATTTAATAATAGGATTTTAAAATCAGATTTCAATATTCTATCTATTTTCCTTATCCTCTACCTTTTATTTTTGTACAGCTATATTTGTTGAAGCATATATAGCTAAGCCAGAGATGTCAATAGATTAGTAATAAATGAGTATAATTTAAGGATGGGGACACATTTTTGTTTAAAGAAAAGGCATCTTAAAACATTCTTTATGTTACAAAGAAAATGGATCTCTTTGAATCATAGTAGCTTACAGTCCACATTAGCAATTGTTGGTGGTATAACTGATGTGGTGACACTATTTTACATAGGCCTTTCAGTCACAGAATTAAATAATTGTTGTTGACGTTAGCACTTTAACACACCAAAGATAAAACACAATGCATATGAGGAAATATTTTTAGGTACTAATATATATTAAGAACGCTGAGATTTTGGTTATGTGGTGATGAGCTACCTAGAACACTCAAGGTATCCAAAATGTCTTTTTATCTAACAATGTAGTAAAAAAGGAACGTCTATATTCCTAGTAGAACAAATGATCCTTACGAAGCTAAACACTGATTTTTTGATAAGTATGCAAAAGTCGAGACATAGATCTAAAAAAAAAAAAGAAAAAAAGAAAGAGATGAAAAGGAAAGTGACGAGTATTAAAGACAAAATTGTATCTAATGGTGGCATTTCATCAAAAAGGTAGGAAAAACAGACAACAGAATGGTAAACAATTACATAAACAATATAGTCTATAAATGTAAATAAACCTATAAATAGTTTGCCCTTAAGGTCCCTTTCCACTGTGCTTGTGTAAAAGTATAGATGTAGAAGCCAAATCATGTACACACTTATGGGCCCGATAGAATACTACTGTCAACACATGTTTATTTCACTGCAATATAGCAGAGTTAAGTGTGTCACAAAGGTCAATCACTGACAATGTGCAGTTTAAGGGTAATTCACAAAAATACTATAACAAATTGGTAGAATTGTGGCCTCTTTTATATACTACATAGAATGAATAGATACTTAGAAGAATAGAGGAAAAATGATGAAGATGTGGCTAGGATGCATTATCTCAGACATACAGAAGTCATAACAATAATTCTGAAAGGCAAAGGACATAGCATCAGTGAAGAAAATTTTTTAAACTTCTCTATAAGGGTAAAAATACTACATGGGAGAATTACACTTTTGCCTTTGATTCATAATAATGTTACTGTACCGTCCATGGAAGCTATTTAATTTACTATATATTTATGAATAAATGGCAAATTATGCATGTACGGATTGCTAGGATTTTTTTTAAAGAAACCCCTATCTAGGACCACTGCCGATGTCAAAATCTAGAAATAGTTACATTATGTTCAAGAAACCTGGAAGAAATATTATTCATATATAGGGCTGACATTTAAGTATGGCAGAACAACCATCAACTATCCAGACTGAATAAGTCCTTGCAAATTTCAATTGGTCAAGTTTCACTGTAAACTGAGTTTTTCACCTCTGGTAAAGAAGAAGTATTAACATTTCATAAATGAATAAATATCAGTGAATCATACTTCACCAATATTTCTTTAGATATTTTGGGGCTCTAGGTTGGATATATCTTTTTTTAAGATCTAATGGGGTAACTTTATTATTTTATACAA